GCCAGCGAGAGCCGCGAAAGCTTGGCTGCGAGGGGAGAGACCTGGTGAGTCCCTGTCCCCGGGGAAACTGAGGCAGCACACACCTAGCTGTGTGTCCTCAGGTAAGCCCCTGGCACAGTCTAAACCTCAGTCCCTCCCGCTCCCCACCCCCGACCTGTGAATTGAAGGGCTGCAGTGGGGGCCTTTCTCCACGCAGAGTGGGAAATCTCCCCCCCCCCGGCCCCAGTGCTTAACCTTCCCGTGGATCCCCAATGCCCACAGCATGAAGCCCTAACTTCTCCCCACAGCCCACCGGGCCTGAGTGCCCTGGCCCAGCTGACCTCTCCAGTCTCTGTCCCCACCTCCTTCTGGCTTGACCTCCATCCAACCACGTGGGCCGCCTCCCTGTTCCTCCCACCTTGGAGCCTTTGCATATGCGGTTCCGTCTGCCTGGAACTCTCTTTTCTGAGCAAGTCCTGCTCATCCTCCATCTCTAGATTTTCAAAGCCTTCAGAGATCTCCCAGGAGGTCAGGCCCGCCTGCTCTGAGTCCCATATCACCAAGCACCTCTCCTTCCAAGCAGATTATCTCAGTGGATAACTGTACTTCTGTTGCAGTGTGATTAGTGTTTTCCTCACCACAGAGCAGAGACTGAGTCGGGCTTATTAATGGCTGCATCCCCAGGCCTTGAGCATATGAAAGTACTCAGTCAATATTAGTGGGATTAATGAATGAATGTTCCCTGCTGTGTGACATTGACTAAGTACTTCCCCTCTCTGGCCCTCAACTGCCAAAGTTGGGGTGTCTAGTCATTTCCAGGCCCTTTGCCCTATGATTCCCAGATCTCAGCCTGCTGGGAGAGAAGGACTTTATGTCCCGGGAGAAGAAACCTGGCTTTGAATCCCAGGCCTATCCTGCTTACTCGCTGTGTGTGCCTAGACAAGCAGATCCACCTCTCTGAGACTCTATTTCCTCACTGGCAAATGAACAGGGGCCACTCATTCCTCCTTTAGTGCTTAAGTGAACCATGTGCCGGGCCCTGTGGGGGACAATGGTAGGGATGAGAGGAGGGTCAGCGGTGGGGCAGGGAGAAAGATGGATCATTCCATCTGGGTCACTCCATTCCCCTCATTCACTCTACTCCAGTTTCACTGACCTTTTACTATTTTCTAAACATTCCAAGCTAACATCCATCTCAGTGCTCTCTACATGGAACACACTTTCCCCAGATGTCCACTTGGCTTACTCCTTACTTTCCTTCACCTTATTGAGGCCTTCCTTGACCAACCATTTCAGGGTGATGGCGTCATGGGAGGTGCTGCACAGAGGGAGCTATGAGGGGCTGTGGGTACCCAGAGAAAGGACAGGGTGATAGCATTTAGAAATCAGAAAGGCTTCCTAGGGAAGGGGAAATTTGGGTGGAGTCTTGAAGGATGAGTAGGAGTTCAATGAGTGGAAAAAAGCATGCCATTCACAGCCTCTTCTCACCCAGCAATCCTAACTTAACCCAGACCTTTGGAGCATCTTAGTTGCTCATCCCCCAACTTTGTCATGCTGCCCAGGGTCATCCTTGACACAGCTATTTGCATAGAGGCTGGTAACAAGCAAAGTGACATTCCATAATGCAGTTTGCAAAAGATTAAGTTGATACACCAGCAAGAGCTTGATCTTAGCAAACATTCTATTTCCCTACAGCAGTTTCTCAGTATCTTTACATATTATTTAGTAACTTGTCTGTCCTTGAGCCAGCAGCCTTGCCATGCTATAATTCTTTATCTTACAACAGAGACTATATAGCCTGGGGAAAATTTCCTGTCTTGCAAGGTCAACATTTTATATGTACTTTTAAGAAGTTAGGCTAAACCTGAAACTACAAGAAACTAGGCCCTGTGGAATATATTTGCTTTATAGTATACTTCACAGCAAAGAACAGCAAATAAATGATGTGGGAATTAGGAGGATAAGGAGTAAAGAAAAAAAATTTTTTTTTTTTTAAAAGATGACCGGTAAGGGGATCTTAACCCTTGACTTGGTGTTGTCAGTACCACACTCAGCCAGTGAGCGAACCGGCCATCCCTACATGGGATCCGAACCCGGGGCCTTGGTGTTATCAGCACCACACTCTCCCGAGTGAGCCACAGGCCGGCCCTCTAACTGGCTTTGAGGAAGGAAAGTTCTATGCCCAGCCCCCTTCCTGATCCTGACCCCCTGAGCCACAGGCTCCTCTGGTAAGTGGAGATAAATAACCCTTTTCTCACGTGTGGCTGTGACGTTGCCAATATAAAATAGGACCCAGCCATTTATAACTGTCAAACCAGTATTTAAGGAAACTGGGCCTCCCAGATATTCTGGTGGAACTATATTCCCTATGTCCATATCTAAACAGGGACTGTTTATCCTCCATTTATCTTCTCTTAAGTAGTCCTGTTTGTGGCAGAACACCTCCTGTGTTCCTACCAAAACTCACTTTTCAGAAAAGGCATTTCTATGCCTTCCAGCTTACCAGTGCCATGGGGGGTGTGTTGGGTCAGGGAAGGATCTGAGGCTCCCTGGTCCCAGCCTTGGGCAGCTCAGGGCCTGGCTCACTGGATAGATTCCTTAGCTTATTGGAAAATTTAAACCAGAGATCCCATGCTGGCAGCCCAAGGGTCCTGACTGGCCCACAGACAGGCTTTCTTTGAACTGGGGGCAACTATTTAAAAAAAAACCCCAAAGCTCTAGTTTAAAAGGGAAAAGTAGCAGCTTCGGCAACACCAGGTGAGCATTCCTGAGAAGTGGCTGCCTACTCTAGACAAGACATTTTCTCCCCACCCTCACCCCACCTCCTCCAGCCCACTTCATCCATTTCCCTATACTGTCTGGCCTTGTGGGCATCTGAGTTTGAGACCCCTGGTCTACATGAATTGTAATAATAAAAGCAAAGTGTTTACCAAGTCCCAGGCGCTCGGTTAAACGCTCTGGAAGTATTTAACCCTCACATCTGTCCTGTGAGGTAGGTGCTATCCTTGTCATCTGTTTTTGGCAGGTGGGGAAGCTGAGACATGAAGCAGTAAGGACATTTGCCCAAGGTCACAGAGCTAGGGAGGAACAGAGCCAGGATTTGAGCCCAGGTCGAGTGGCTGCATGGTCTGCACTCATGACCCTGCTGGTCAGCCGGGGCCAACATCCTCCCTCCACACACCTCGGAAAGAGGCAGATCTCAGCCTACAACTATTCTCCCCAACGCCTCCTCACCTTTGATCTGCTCGCTGTTCCCCTGAGGGGGTCCCAAGTCCAAGAAAAGTCGTGGCATCTCGGGGCCCTTCCTCTCGGGCTTGGGGGGGTCCCCGTCTCCGCTGGGTGCCATGTCTCCGCCGGCCCTGCTGTCTGGGACCCCGGGCTCTCCCTCGGGGGCCACCTCCGGCCTGGCTCTCGGGAGCACTGGCTCCAGCCTCCTCGGTTGTGTCTCCGGTGGCGGTGGCAGCAGCAGTGGCAGTGGCCTCGTGCTGTCTACCCATCCGGCCTTTGCGTCCACGCCGCTTCCGGGGCCGCCGCCGGGGGCCATCCCCGTGCCCACTGGGGCTCGGCCCCCACTCTCGAGGTCCAGCCTCCCAGCCCCGGGGGCTCTCGGCACCCCCCCAGTCTCGTGGGCTATCCTCTCGGTCCCGGGTTCCAGCATCCCGCTGCTGGGGGCTGGGCCAGGGGCTGTCTCCCCGCCGTTCTGGGGCAAGGCTGCTGCGCTGGGTTCGGGGGCTCTCTCCAGCGAGGTCTCTGGGGCTGGCTCCCCGATCGTGGGGGCTGGACCCCCACTCTTGGGTATCTTCTCCCAGGGCCCTGGGGCTCTCCAAGGCCCAGTCTCTGGTGGCCTCTCCATGTTCCTGGGAAATTTCAGGCCCCCATTCTCTGACACTTTCTCCTCGATCTTTGGGGGTGTCAGTCCCCCATTCACCAGCACCTTCTCCCCGGCCTCTGGGTACCTCAGCTCCCCATTCTCCAACTCTTTCTCCTCCCTCCTTGGGGGTGTCAGCTCCCCATTCTCCAGCACTTTCTCTTCTCTCTCTGGGGACCCCAAGCCCCCATTCTCCGCTGTCTTCTCCTCGATGCCCAGGGCTCTCTGTCCCCCGTTCTCCAACACTGTCACCCCGTTCACAGGGAAGCTCAGGCTCGGGGCTTTCTTCCCGTTGCCCAGTACTGTTGGGTCCCTGTTCAGGCTGGGGACTTTCTCTCTGTTCCCGGGGCCTCTCCCTGGCTTCCTGGGTCCTGTCTCCTGAGGAGTCACCCCCTTCTCTCCCAGGAGGTTCCTTGTCACATCCTCCCGCAGGGACATCAGCAGCTGCTCGGTGCTCACTTGAACCACGAAAGTTGGCTTCTCCCGGGTCCCTGGGAGTGGGAGGGGACCCGGGTCTGGGGGTGGCCGGGGCGCTCCTGGGTCGGGTGGCTCGGGGGGAGCCCGCGGCCGAGGGACCCCTTCCTCCTCGGCTGCCCCCCCACCTGGGAAGGCTCCCTCGGGGGAAAAAGGGGTCTCGGTCTCGTAGCCACTGTCCCCCGGCTTGGGGCCCGGAGATGACAGTCCTGAGCCGGGACTGGCCACGGCCGAGGGGGGGGCGGG